CAGATGCCAGTAGCACAGCTGCCTTGGGGATGGGCGGGCAGCAGCCAGGCTGTGGCAGGGACTCGGCTTGTCCCCCTGGGCCTGCACCCTGGCCTGCTGACGAGGGCCGGCCGGCTTTCTGCCATGTCCCTGGCATTGACACAGGGCCAGGCTGCACCAGCTTCCGCCAGCCAGGCCCACAGCCTCGTGCTCTGAGAGGGTGACTGGGGCAGCTTCCCTGACCAGAGAGTGGCTCTCCAGGCAGGTGCGACCACAGAGAACGCTGGGAGGCACCAGTGTGCCCTGGTCCCAGGACACGGGGCGTCGGGCAGCCGGACCTCAGCCCCAGCCCCCCTGCCCAGCATGAGCCTGGAGACACAGAGAAGAGGAGGCAGCTCGGCCACAAAGCGCAGTGGGACACCCGGCCTGGCTCTCGCCCACAGGAGTAAGCGCCCTGACTCAGGCAACGAAGCCTCACGTTTCCAAGAGTTTTCACCAAAGCACACCCTTGCAGATCCGTGAGGACCCGGATAGGCTGGGGTCAAATCAACAAGGCTGAGGCCGTGCAGGCGCTGGCACCCAGAGCCTCCCTCCCTGGGGCTCTGTGCCCCCACCCCTTCCCTCCAGCCAGGGCGGAGTCCCAGCCCCCTGGCCGACTCCTCTGCAGCCTCCACCCAAGGCCCACACTGTGGGCACTGCTGCTGCCCAAGCTGGGCCACAGTGGCGGTTGTGGGGAAGAGGCAGCCAGCGGAGCTCCAGGGACCATGGGCGGACTGAGGCTGGGGCTGCCACCACTCCCTGGGGCTCCTGCCGCCCACCTACTGCGTGACATCTGCACGCCACCACACCACCGGGCTCACTGCTACCTGACCCAGGCTGGCAGAGGGCCGGAGACAGGGCAGGAAGGGGCGGGGCTCGTCTCTCCAGGAGAGCCCCAGCTGGCCAGACCACCCAGAGGTGGCTTCTTCCTGAATGAAGAGACAGGAACAGCTTGGTCACCTCAATGCAGCTACGAGCACCACAGAGCTGGCCCGAGATGAACACGGCACGCGGAGGGCGCAGCAGGCCTCAGCGCATGTCTCGGAGGTGGGCAGTGCCATCCTTGTGCAGAGAACACGGAACACGGATAACCAGGACATGGACGCCCCCGCCTCTGAGTCTAAGTCTCGCCCACTTACGCAAAAGCAGCAAGTAGCCTCAGGCCCAGCCCGGGTGCACCCCCTGGCGGCGTCTGCGCCCTGCCCTAGGCCTCTGCCCTGTGGGAGGGAACCCGGCAGCACGCCCCCTAAAACTACACAGACCCCAAAGACGGGCAGCCAGGAAACGAAACACAACCGAGCCCTGGACTGGAGGGCGAGGCGAGGCCCCCTTCTGCCCCTGCACGGCTGACGTGACGAGCAGGTGCCCCACCTGTACCACGGGAAGGGCTCGTTCTGATTTGGGTGCAGGAGCCAGGACTGGGGCTGCCTTCTCACAGGACACCTCCCCTGGCTGACCGCCTACTCCTGGCTTCGATACACCTCAAAGGCACACCCGGAGCGGGGGACTCGGCCAGGCGGCTCAGGAGGGCCAGCTTCCACACTGGGAGGGCGGGTCGCCAGCCCTCCAGCTGGCCCTGAGTGGGCCCAAACTGCGAGGCCAGGCTGCCAATCTTGGGGGGGGAGCACATCTGACCCACTGGTCCTCCCCAGGGCCAGGTGGCACAGCCTCCAGGCCACGGTGGACCTCGGCTACCCCAGGGGGCTGGTGTCCGCCACTGTCACTCTGAGAGGAGCCCAGCTCGCCACATCAGAAGACCCCTGACCAGCAGTCCCTGCACAGGCGGAGGCTCCAAGGCAGACCAGACTGGGTGCCGTGGTGTGGACCTCCCAAGGTATGCCGTGGTCGGCTCGGGGCGCAGACCTCACCTTCCCCAGGGCCACTGCCAATCATCAGGCTCTGGGTGGCAGCTTCCCCCCAGTCCCCACAGCCACCAGCAGAGCGCCGGGGCAAGGTGGAGCCATGGCTCTGCAGCAAGGAAGCTGCCCACACACCTACAGAACCCGCGGCTGGCCCAGCAATCTCACGTGGAGGGAGGGGACGGCCACGGAAGGGGCTGGGGAGGGGTGGGGAGCGCTGCTGCCCCGGGCCAAGTCCAGCTGCCAGACCCTGTGAGGAGAACAGGTGCAGAAGCAGAGCACTTTCCGGGTGACTGCCTGGTGGAAGCAGTACACCCTCGCGCGGGGCACCGACGGCAGGGACCCACTTCACTCGGCACACAAGGCCGTCCCCACGGCTCTCGTCTGCTCTAGCATGCTCTGCTGGGCCCTTCATCTGGAGAGGCTGTCCCCACCGCCAGTTGTGAGTAAGGAGACCGACGCCCAGCGATCACGGGGCTGGTCTGACCTCTCCGGGCACCTCTCCCCAGGCATCCTGGCCTGTTCGCACCTGAGCGCAGGTGCCCAGGACGGCAGCCACTCAGTTCAGACAGGGGACAAAAGCGGGTGAGGCTCTGGGAAGACAGGGTGCCTTGGCACCACCCGGGGGAAGGAAGTGTTGTCCAGGCCACAGGGCCCTGACCCCAGCGGTCCTCCCCCAGTCCCAGCCGACACCACTCCGGAAGACAGAGCCAAGAAGCCGAGACGGAGGCCGGCGGGCACACAGCGCAGGGGGGACTGATGCCCGAGGTTCCTAGGACCCGCAGAGGCGCCGTCTCCCTCAGGATGACTGTGCCTCGGCCCCCGGAGGTGGGTGCTGCGAGTTTGTGTCGGAGTGCTCCTCCTGCTCAGTAGGAGCGCGGCCCTCGGGCAGAGCCAAGGACGGCCAGAGCTGTGTCCCACGCTGCTGCCAAAACCTGTGTCACGAGGCAGGGACGTCTGTCCACCGGATTGCTTCAGCAGTTTCCTCCCTAGGGACACTCTAGCTACAGAAAACCTGCAAATGACCCCTGCCAGGTACTGCCTTCCTCGTGTCTGGACTGTGTGCTCTTAGGAGATCGCCACGCCCCAGAACTAGCGGGGAGTACAGGCAGGACGCCATGGTGGGAGCAGAAGGTCCACGCAGGAAGGACCCAGGCTCACTGGCTGTCAACACCCTGCCTCACTGCAGACTCCCTGGACCCCTCTGCAGCCACCGCCCATGGTCCCAAGTGGCCTCTCTCTGTGCCCTCCCACACAGGGCTGCAGGGTTTCCTGGCTCCCTTGCCATCCTCCCCCGCTCTTTGGACTAGCACCCTCCTGTTCCTTCCCGTCCCTGTTTCAGGGGTTCGGCGGCCTGGCCCACCCAGACCCAGGGTCTCGGGTCCAACAGCACGAGGTAGGCAGCAGGGCACTGGGGCACCCCTGCATTTAGGTGCCATAGCAGGCTGTAAGGTCCCCCTACACCAACCTGCAGTCCCAGAGATCCTTTCTAGGCTGGAAGGCATCGGGTTACACCAGAGCCAGGAGCTCTGCCCCTCCTCACTGTATAGGCTCGGTGCCCAGAGTTGGGGACCCACCCTCTGCAGGTCTCCTGGCGCCAACAAACAGCTCCTGCACAGCCTCTTGCAACACACTCTCCCACAAAGCTCAGGTGGTGACACCCCACCCAGGCTGTGCTGTACCTGCTTCAGCAGG